CTCCCTTCCTGGGGGCTGGGGGTGGGAAGTGGTCCAAGGCCTCCACGCCCCACCTCCTTGGCCCTGTTGTGTGTGAGGAGGGAGAGGACAGCCTGCCTCGTGACAGGGGGCTGGCCGAGCCCGCCCTAGCCCTGGGGTAGGGGGCGGGGCAGGGGAGCCCTATAATTGGAGGAGTCTGGGCTCCCAGAGCCCTGCTCAGCTCCTGCGGACTCAAAGGACCCGGTACCCCAGGAGCCGGTGAGATGTGCAGCCAGAGGGCACAGGGACCAGCAGAGGGGTCTGGGGATGATGTGGGCACCTCAAAACCCCCTGACCTCTAGGGAAAGTCAGGGGCTAGGAGGAAAAGGCAGGAAGCTCAGAGAGCCATTTGGGAGACAAGGGGGTGGGGAAGCAGTGACCGGCCTCTGCCTGGATCAGTCCAGACACAGGAGCAGGGGAGTGGACCTTGAAAAGCCAGCCGTAGGGCCTCCCACCCAATCTAGAAGGTGGAGGATGGGGGCAGCATTTGGGGCAGCTGGAAAAACCCAGAGATGAATCCTAGCCAAATCCCACTGTCATTTATTGAGCACCTACTGGATGCCCCCATTTGTCTTCAGGTCTCCATAATCAAGGATGCAGGGGTGGCCAGACCAGATTGAAAGAAGGACTTTTCTATGAGGGATAAATTAGCATGTAGATTGAAATTAGCGCTTAGACACGACTTTGGAGCTTAGAATGTGAAGGAGGAACGCAGAGCTGGACCTTAGAGAGCCCAGCTGGGTGGGGGCTCAGTGGAATCTGAACCCTGGAGAGGGAGATGGAATTTTGGCAGCGAATGGAGAGATAGGAGAAGACAAAGAGGGAGTTAAATAGCCAGTTGGGGGGAGCAGCCTGGTGAATGTTTATGATTGGATTAGGTTATCTCAGATCTTGGGGTGGGGAGGCTTTCAAGGTGGGGCCAGGCTGGGGGGAGGAGTCCCCACAGGGCTGTTGATTCAGTCTCTCCCCTCCCCAGACTGACCATCAGGCAGAAAGATGAAGGTTCTGTGGGCCGTGTTGGTGGCCACGCTCCTGGCAGGTATGGAAGCAGGGCCTGCCTGGTGACCTGCATGTCCCTCTTCTATCCCTTGGCCTCATTCAAGTCCTCAACCCCCTTTTCTGTGACCCATCCTCCTTGAGAGTGAGGCCCAGGTCTGAGGCCTCCCTGACCTTCACTGGCCCTGAGCAGCTGCTGTCCACTCTCTGGCCTGTTTTCCCATCTGTAAAATGGGCACAAGCAATGTCGTGCTGCCGTGCTCTCAGGTAGGTAGTGAGTACCGGCCAAGAGTCGGCTGTGACCCTCCGCATTCTCCCTCGCTCTTGTGCAGCCCGACACAGGGCCCACAAAGGCACAAAGGATGTGGACAGTGATTAATCAGACCACCCCGTCCCTGCCCACCTGGGCTCCAAGGAGGCCCCAGCACTGTGTAGCGCCTGCTCTGTGTGAGGGAGCGTGCCTGGCCCTGATGGCCCCGAACTTGCCCTACACAGGATGCCGGGCAGAGCTGGAAGTGGAGCCAGAGGTACAGGAGCAGACCAAGTGGCAGATTGGCCAGACCGGCCAGCCCTGGGAGCTGGCACTGGGCCGCTTCTGGGATTACCTGCAATGGGTGCAGACGCTCTCTGACCAGGTGCAAGAGGAGCTGCTCAGCTCCCAGGTCACCCAGGAACTGGCGTGAGTGCCCCCACCCCTGGCCTTTGACCCTCTTGCTGCCTCTGGATCCTCTGAACCTCCAAGGACTTGGGTTCTTTTCTGTCCCGGGGTCTCTGCCTCTTTCTTGCCTTCCTTTGAACTCCTGGCTTTACCTCTCTGCTTCCCCCCAGCTCTCTGTCCCTGCCCATCCTCCAGGCTCACAGGCTGGTGCTCTCTGCCTCTGTCCCACATCCCCATCCCCTTTACTTATTTATTTATATTTTTTAGTTGTATATGGACAGAATACCTTTATTTTATTCATTTATTTTTATGTGGTGCTGAGGATCAAACCCAGTGCCTCACACATGCGAGGCAAGCGCTCTGCCACTGAGCCACGACCCCAGTCCCCGCTCCTCCCTTTTTACTTTTTATTTTGAGACACTGTCTCACTAAGTGGTTTCGGACCTTGCTCAATTGCTGAGGCTGGCCTCCCACTTGGGATCCTCCTGCCTCTGCCTCCCAAGTTGCTGGAGTTACAGGCATGTGCCGCCACCCCTGGCCCCTGGTCCTTCTTTGTCTTAATCTCTGTCGTCTTGATCTCTCTGCATCTGTCTCAGTCTCCTCTGGGCCTCTTCCCCTTCCTCCTCTTCCCCTTCGGGTCCCCCATCTGTCTCAGTCCTCTTCTTGCAGCATCCGCCCTCTTGGCCCGCAGGGTGCTAATAGAGGACACGATGAAGGAGGTGAAGGCCTACAAGTCGGAGCTGGAGGAGCAGCTGCGCCCGATGGCCGAGGAGACGCAGGCCCGGCTCTCCAAGGAGCTGCAGGCGGCGCAGGCGCGGCTCGGGGCGGACATGCAGGACGTGCGCAACCGCCTGGACCAGTACCGCAGCGAGATGCGGGCCATGGTGGGCCAGAGCACCGAGGAGCTGCGGGCGCGCCTGGCCTCGCACCTGCGCAAGCTGCGCAAGCGGCTGCAGCGCGACGCCGAGGACCTGCAGAAGCGCCTGGCTGTGTACCAGGCCGGGGCCCGCGAGGGCGCCGAGCGCGGCGTGAGTGCCATCCGCGAGCGCCTGGGGCCGCTGGTGGAGCAGGGCCGCCTGCGGGCAGCCACCGTGAGCAGCCTGG